TACTACTACTACTACTACTACTACTACTACTACTACTACTACTACTACTACTACTACTACAAATGTAATATTAAACATTCCCATAAAAAGGAATACCTGCTTAGACTGAAGAAACTAGAGGTGTGTGCATGCAAGAATGACAAGCTCAGCAGCTCTCTCTACTGGATTGACACTCTAAGCATCTGGGCACAGCCCGGGAAAGCGTATGCAAAGTAACACTTGTTAGTATTAAAGATTGCTGGTGTTGCTGAAAAAGAGAGTCATTCCGAAAATGGAAAGATGAGAAGTCAAGGGAAGACACAGATCCTGTCTTTGTTATTGCTGGCTTTTCTGCTGTTCCTTCCCCATACAGATTTGGCTTTTGCTGAAGTAACTGAAGCAGGTATTCCTAAAGGCACAAACGGAAGCCGAAATAACATTCCAGTGACTGGTCTGAAGTTCAAAGCGGGGGTGGGGGGTAGGGAGGAAGCATAACAGGACTGTTCAGAGGGAAGCCTCCAAGCTGATCCCAATAATACTGTATTATAACAGTAAGCAGTATATTATGACTGCTTTCACAAATACGGGTTGCTCAGACACAAGGTGTCTGGCTAACCATACTTTTCAAAAGCAAACTGGAACCCCGTTGAGATCCTTTGGCAGCTGAAAACCTTGTTATTAGATACTGCACCAAGCAGAATGGTTCATTGTGTATACGCTGAAATACAGAAGTGAAGATGTCAGCGTGTTCCGTTACTAGTGCAGTCACAGCAAAGACAGTCAAGCACAGAGATTAGAAAAACCTACTGTTTTGGACCACAAATCCCAGAATCCTCAGTTCTGTTTTAGAGACACAGCCCAGGAAAGAAACTTTTCTGAGCTTTAATATGGCAAAGGCTTCCTGTCCATCTTGCATCTTCCTGACCTGTTCATGACTTCTTGTAAACGCAGTTCTCTTTCTCCTGTTCTCCAGTGTGCTCCTTATGAGCTTCAAACTCACTGTACAAGCAGGTAGCCAGGCTTCCTTGTGAGTCCTCTGCCCTCCCCTTTAGTTGTTAGAAACACTTACCTGAAAGAACTGTTCCTTGAATGGGAACGACAGCCCAGCCATCTCCCCAACGGCTGTGCAAGACTAGTTTAACTCTGCTTAGCTTGTGAAAGCTAATAACATCACAGCTCCTTCTAGCAAGCTGGCTGAAAATCAGGAAATGGATTTTCTTGGCAGAGGTACACATTTTAACATGCCACCTGCAGTGTGACATACCTCCGCAGAGTCACTGGAGAGCCGGGCAGAAGTATAGAGAACATTTCTCACGAAAAACAACACCTCACCGCCCAGTATACACACACCCACACACCAGCCCCTGCTATGTTCATAACTTCAGCAATGCTTTCATGCACTCAGAACCAAAATGCAAAGCACCGTAGCAAGCACTCGACAAACTCTGAAACAGATGCAGAATTATAAGACTGTATTTTTACAGGTGTTTTCCACAACATCAGACACCCACTTCAAAGTCATATATGACCTAGTAGAATGTGTTTGTTTGTTTTTAAAAAAAAAAAACAAGCAGCTCTCACTTGGTGGCAACATTTTTGCTGGCCTAACACACTAGTAGAATGTTTTTTTTAAAAAAAAAAAAAACAAGCAACCCACATGGTGGCAACATTTTTGCTGGCCTAACACAGGTTATGCATTTTTTTTGTCCAAAGTGTGAAAGAGAAGCACAGACATCAAGAAAAGTTTTCTTTAAAAAAATCACCTGAACAAAGGTACTTAATATTCACTGGGTTCCTCACATACAGTAAAACTCTTTATTTGAAAACAACTTTTTGTACCAACATGAACTAACTATACCTTTAAGAACATACTGATCTCTCCAACAGTGGCCTTAAATAGACCTCAAACTAAAATGGAGTATGCACACACAAGGTATGTTTCTTAGACCCTTCTTCTAACACATGCAAAAAGTGCAAAAGAATAGCCAACATCAGCTAGGATGAATGCTTGAATAGGGCTAAAAGTTATGGAACTATATTACATTATATCCTTGCCAATATTTTGACAAATGAAGAGTTACAGTTACAAGGCAGTCCAATGCATATTCAGTTAGCAGTGAGTCCTATTAAAACTCACTAGAGCGTAACCCTCATTAACAATGCAATCCCAATTCAAACGATGAGTCATCTATAGTGGGAGAGGATTAGACTACAAGCCTCTTCCACTGGTCGAATCCTTTCTTTCAAATTGATCTCAGAGATCTGCCAACAGAGCTACCTGCCCCAAAAGTACTCAACTGGCTCAATTTTAACAACAGAAGAGCCAGAAAGGGGTGGAGAAAGGGCAAAGCAAGGAAGCAGGTGAGTTATGCCTGAACTAGAGATGGGAATGAATTAAAAAAATGAATCACCAAATTCATTAAAAATTACTAATTCATCGATTCATATTTGTATGAATCAATGCCTCAGATGAATACAAATCAATGCCTTTTTAGTGATTTTTGATCCATCAATTCATTTGGCTATAAAACAGCCCGGCACCTAGAGACACAAAAATTTGAAGGGAACCTACCTCTGACTCTCCTCTACAATACTTTCAGGTTTGGTGAAGATTCTGTTTCCCCAAGCTAGCTGCTAAAGGGCACTGTCCTTGGGGGGCCCACTTTCTGGGTGTATAACTTGGATGTCTGAAACCCAATCTTCATCAAACGTGGAAGGATTGTAGAGGAGAGTCCAGGGAAGCTTCTTTGTGATTTTGATGCCTCTAGGTGGGTATATAACTGCCCTGCTTGTGGGTATATAATTGGGATGTCTGAAACTCAAAATTCACCAAACTTGCAGGGCTTGTAGAGGAGAGTCAGGGGACGTTTCCCTGCAAATTTGGTGTCTCTAGGTGCTTGGGGACCATTTTGTAGGATTTTAATTTTTTTTTTTAAATGATGAATTGATTGATCAGAAAAAAATCATAAATTTGTAATTTTGTAGGATTTTAATTTTTTTTTCAAAAAAAATGATGAATTGATCAATCAGGAAAAAATCATAAATTTGTAATTTTTGGTTCAGCAACCTTGAAAAATCACAAATCAAAACAAATAACAATTTTTCTGATTTGTGCCCATCTCTAGCCTGAACCAAACCTGCCCCCCTCCCCCATGATCCTAGGGACACAGTCATAATGCTGGTACAAAATTAAGCCATAATAGCCACACTTTCGTTCTCAGATTGCAACAAGGATTAAAGATTACATGGTAAGATTCAAATATGCTGGTTCAATGCACTTGGCAAGTTAGCTGTGTTTAAACAGATTAGGATACACATGTTCGTTTTCCACTAAGCCTTCTCAGTGTGTTATTCTGTACTGCTGAGGTGAATAGCAGGGTTGACTGCATTGATTACAATGCTGCAGTGAGATTTCCCCTAATTTATGAGTCTTTTGAATAATGCCTTCAAAAATGTTCTTACATCAAGAGAACCATGGTTAGTACCATTAACCAAACAGGCTATATATATACACACTCCAAAAGAAAGCATTGGTCGTGTACCTGCACAAATCTATGGCCCATTCTCACTTTGCTAACCATAGTTGATGTAAACCAAGATTAGCATTCGTGTACACTAGACCACTAACAATACAGATCAGCCACCTGAAGGAACCACTCTACAAGCCACCCTTTCAAGCATCATACTAAGGTTTCCATCTTCTTTGAGAGGCCATTCAGAATTAACCAATAATTACTTGAGCAAGTTATTCTTTTGGACTATGATACCTACCCAGGGGGATTCTGCTAGTCCAAAACAGTACATTTTGGGTTTTGAATATTTGGAAAAGGAACCAGTATATAAATACAAAGTGCAGCCAACCTGTGACTTCCACACAGGTGCATTACTGTTGGCATCACACACAGGCTTTCATTGTTCAATAAAGACAATGAAATAAGCCATGATAATAAATTAAACGTTTCCACTTACCCTTACATCTCCATTGATAGCTCTGGACATATGATTAAACGCATGTGCAGGATCTTTGTTGTAAACTTTAAGGAAAGATCTATCTTGAATGTTCCTGGAATATTACAAAACAAAACAAAAACATACAAGAGTAGGTGAAAAGGACAGAGTTTTAGCCCATTTGCTTTGCTTATCCTAACAATGCCAGAGGCCACAGGGCAGCAGCCAGCCAATGAAACACCTGCTACTATGCAAACAACAAAAAGGTAAAGGCACTGCCTCTTATTCCTCAGGAGGTACTATCCACACCCATGTAAATTTTTCAGGTTCATTAAAGATTCTGGGTGTGGAGCAAAATGTATGAAAGCAAAGCACCTTTAATGACACCTTTTATGGTATCAACAGACACCATTGTAGTAATTTACAAATGACCTAAGCATCCTTCTCCCCAACTTGAAAACAATTTTGCGAAAACAATTCTGAAAAGTATTGTAAGTTCCTTAGGAAGAAAATAATTGCAGTATCCAATATTTTATGATTCAGATCCCATGCAAGTTATTTCCAAGAAATCCAACAACATCTACTTCTCAGCAAATGAACATGCGTAAGATGCAACTGCCAATTCCTTCTGAACTCTATTACATATGATCGGCTGTATCAATTTTGACTCAAACCAGATAAAAGGCAGTGGGGATAAGTGCTTACTTTTTAAAAATTAGCCCAAACAATGCTGAAGAGGAGCTTACAATTAATAAAGCTGCTAATAATTGTTTTAACAGTCCGTTGTTCTCGATTTGGTTTCACAACCTACCTTTCACATGGTTTTATAGATTGGAGAGCTGGAGCAAACTTAATTTCAGCAACAAGTGGCCAGAAAGACTAAACATACTTCTGTCCTTTTAAAACTAGGAGGCATTTCATTTAACACCATTGATCTCCCGAGAATTTTCACAAAAGTCTGAATTCCTTTGCTCCAGGTGCAGCTAAAGGTTTAGTGGGCTGATCTTAATCATTGGGATTATCGTTTGAAAGTGGGAGCAGGGGACACATGGTGAAAGATTTTTGGGGCATGTCTTGTTTCTTTTTAAGTCGCACTGCAGTTGGCAAATGCCTCGAATCTGCAACTAGTTAGAACTTGTACTGCTGCCAGCGACTTCAAGCAGCCTGTCAAGAAAAACAGATAGCTGATGAGGCGAGGCAGTTCAGCCCCAACTGCTAAGAAACACAGGGCTAATTAGACGTTTAGCATTAATGGGAGTAAGTACTGAGACAAAACCACAAGAAAATATATACCCATGGGCAACTTAGGCTTGTTGCAACTCTGTCTCAGAGTCCACACATTCATAATTTTACTAGCATTGTGTGCTGTAATAATCCATATATTCCAGGGGTCGGGAGTTCAATGGCCCACCGTGCGTCCTGGGAGAAGAGCTAGCCTATGCGAAGAAGGAGGGAATGGTAAACCACTTCTGTGTATTCTTTACCTAGAAAAGCCTGGAAAGGGTTGCCATAAGTCAGAATTGGCTTGACAGCCAATGATACTATTATTAGCAGTAGCAATAGTTCTCCACACCACCTCCTGTGGCCGGATCTTTAAATGCAGGGGAGCAGAACTGGTATACATTATTTTTAAGAGGCTACAGATCCCGGTACCTCTTGGCCAGAATGTCAAAAGAGTACCGTATTTTTCGCACCATAAGACACACTTTCCCCCCACAAAACAGGGGGGTGGAAAGTCTGTGCGTCTTATGGAGCAAAGAAAACAGATTATATTTTCCTGTTTTCTTCTCTTAAAAATTGGTGCGTCTTATGGAAAGGTGCGTCTTATGGAGCAAAAAATACGGGCAACTTTTCCAACCTCTGATAATCTCTGCCATAACTGTCTTTCCATGACATTGCTTTCAAAAGCTGGTATATATTCTGATTCAAAAGAAAATGAGCATTTTTAAAACACTCAACCAGGACCAAAACCCAGATCTCCCACATCCCAGCTCAGCTCTCTAATCATTCTGCCACCTTGGCTTAGAATAGTACCTTTCCTGAGCTCTGTGTCACAAGGAAAAGTATAAGAAACTCTCACGTATCAGGGAAGTCTGTTAACCACCTAATCCAGGAGTGTTGGATCTGATGGGCAACAGTTCAGAAAGAACAGGAAAGGTCATTTCCATCCCCTGCTGTCCAAGGCATTTTACTGCAGATGTCAGAAATTGACCCTGGAGCTTCTGTATACAAAGCCTATCATCCCTATGGGCTAAGAGACAATGAACTTTTGGCTTCTATCTAGCATGTGCAGGTTGCCAACAAATTATCTCCAAGGCTGAGCATGGACAACATATAACTCTCCAAGTTTTGATGGGATTACAAATCTCATGAGGCCTAGCCACTGCTGCTGATGGTGAAGGATGGTGGGAACTGGGCTATCCATTATCTAATACATCTTAACAATCATGCAAAACAGTGGAGGAAAATCAAAAAAGAAAGTGCAAAGGCAGGATTACAATTGAATTTTAAGCGATGAAAATCATGACTACAGAATAATTATGTAACAACGAAGAAACTGAAATTGTAAATAAATCTGCATTTCCGTTAAGTCATCAATCAGAATGGAAACTGCAGCAAGAAATCAGAAGACTGAGGCTTGAAAGAGCATCTGGGAAAGAATTAGAAAATATCCTTAAGAGTAATGATGTGTCACTGGAGACAAAGCCTGTGATTTTCAAGTATTATGTACAGTATAAATGTGAAAGTTGGATAGTGAAGAAAGCTGGTAGGGGTAAATGATTCATTGAAATATGGAGACCATGGAATGCCAGAAAGACAAATAAGTGAGTTCTAGATCAAGTCAAGCCTGACGCATCTATAGAAAGAAAAACAAGTAAACTGAGGCTGTTTTACTTTTGCTACATCATACGAAGACAAGTTTCACTGGAAAAGACAATAATGGTGGGAACAGCCGAAGGCAGCAGGAAAAAAGGAAGACCGAACACTAGATGGATCAACTCTAAAATAAGCCACAGACTTGAGTTTGCAAGAGCTGAAAACGGTTGTTAATGATAGGTTCTTTGGAGATTATTAATTCATAGGGCTGCCATACACCAGATGCAACTTGACAACACAGTAACAAAAAAGCATTCACTATCCCAGATGAATGCCATGTTGTCCCACAAAGGGGTCGGGATACAATCCCCAGGCACTGTTTTCCCCACAGAACCTAACACACCAGGCCATATATCTTTACCTACCTTACATCACTTAATTCATAATAGATATTTCTGCTCTCATCCTTGATGTATATGGCCACACTGGGGGACTCCAACATTTTCATGGTCAGCTGCTGGGGGAAGGCACTTACAAAGAGGGCACGAATAGTGTCTGTGCTTGTGATCTCGTTGGGCATCTTTAGCTGCTTAGTTTCATCACCATACTGAAGGTATAAAACACCTAAGAAGAAAAACAGAAACAAAAAGATTCAATGAACATCTGAGTTAAAAGGAAGGAAACATAGATTTCATTCTCTACATCAGACACAAGGAGGCTTATTTACATGAAGAGCTAGTTCAGAGACTTACAACCTTTCTAGCATAGTATAGGAAAAGAAGTATGGTTCCCTATGGCTATTGATTATATGCTCCCAAGACATATAGATACTGTGAGGAATATTTTTGCTTGAGTGTTCTGTTTTGGAGTAGGAGTGATTCCAGCTTTCCAAAAAGAAGACTATTTTCTTCCATCCAATAAGAGGCATGGAAGAGAAACAAACGTATTTGTTTATAACCCACTTTTATTTATTCCAAGAAGGAACTCAAGGCGAGAGTACAACAGCTAATTTTTTTTAAAGAATTGCAATGTGGACTCTGGAAGTCTGTTATTAAAACAACATATCCAGGCTTTTTATGCATATTTGAAAAAGGTGCAGAAACATACTCAATGGAGGAAATGCACAGATTAGGAATAATTCGTTCATGGATGTGTGTCGGAAAGAAAAAGAACCTGATATGGAACTGGGATGGGATGAAAATTATGACAGTATTTTATGAACTGCAACTAAAACAACAAAACTGATAAGGTTTAACATCTTTTCTCAGTATTTGTCAAAAAAAAAGAGTAATGCAGGGTTTAAACACTAGCAGAAGGTTTAAGTCACAATAATTTAACCATTGTGGGTTTGGGAGGGGTATGGGAGTTTTATTCCATAATGTAGTTTTTCCAAGCCAACTACTTGCTTTATGTGGAAACAGAAAGATAGGACTGTATCTTTTATCAGGAGTCTAAATTCTTCAGAGCCAAGAGGAGACCTTAGAATAATTAACACTTCTTGTAATGCAGGATAAATTCCCTGGAGCACAGTCAATATTATTGCCATCCACAGAACCAGCATTTCCAAGGCATGCTTTCAGTGCTTGTCTTGAGGTCACCTTCATGATCTTTGTGGTATTTCTAGCCTGGGGCCAGATGCATTAAATTTCCATTAGCTGCTCTCACCTAATTATACTGTATGTCTCCCTCACACTTAAGGAAGTAAAGAAAAAGTTGTCTGTAATAGTTCTGTCGTCATGTAACCTTGTATTAAGATATGTTGCATAAAATACAGAACAACAGACAAACCCAAATTTTGGTGCGAAGTCTTTTCTGGATTTGAAACAACAGTACATATATGGTTCTGTCGAAAGTGTTGCTTGCTCTAATAATGAAATTAAGCACCTGGCCAGCAAAAGGTAAAGAGTGGAATGATGTGATCTTGTGTGTGTTTATGCAGAAGCAAGTTCCCACTACATGCAATAAAACGTATTTCCAATTCCACAGAATTACAGTGAGACCTTTTTCACATAGCATTGCATACCAAAAGCAAGAAACCTTGGGCATATTTCCAAGGCACGTTGGTTGTGTATGCTTGTATTCTCAAACAGAAAGGGTATTAGTTTTGCACAAAGACAGTTTACACAAAGCAACAAACACTTTGATGAGAAAACACAGCATTCCTTAACTCACACTCTCCTAAAGCTGAGAAATCTTTCGGTGCCTGAAAATTCCACATTGAAGTGTCTTATTGAGTCAAGGCAGCTTAAACAAATAAAAATAAAATATTTGTTTAACATTTTTAGCTCCCATAATTAAGTATCAGGATGGTTTGGAGAAGGGCAGAGATTCATTAAGTCAGTCTACAATAGACATTTCACTAGCAACTAAGAGCTGGGAAATTTTGAAAAGATAGTCTATTACTATCACTAGGGGAAGGATTTCTACAACATGTGGCATTTTTTCTGCAGTTTGTGTTAGAACTTAAGTGGGTCAGATTATTCATAAACATGTTTAAACTTCCTTGTTGGTTCAAGGAGAGAAAGTGTGAAATGTCATAGAAATCTCCCCCTAATTATCATGATCCTTCATCAGTAGCCAAGTAGCATATGGTTGATGGAAAGTCCAATGACATTTTGAGGGCCACAGTTCCTCCAGTCCAGGTCTAAGAAAAACTATTAACTCAAGGAGTCTGGGCCAGAAAGGTGTCTGTACTGCTTCGTTGCTGAGGTATCCATATAATTGGGTCTTCTTGAAGGTCTAATTGGTTGCCCAGTGGGAAGGCTGTGGGTCATATGAATCATACATACTTCCTGCAAACTGCTGTGTCTGTATGAGGTTGCCAGCACCTTTCTTCTGATGGATCAGAGAGAAAGAAAACTGGGTCCTTGGCCCTACAGCCAGTCTCTTGAGGAGTGTGTGTCCCCACTAACACTGAATCATTAGTTGTCTGAGATGTCACACAGGTCATCTGACAGCATGAACTTATCCACTGTAGGCTCTGGAATAAAAAGAATCCCTGCAGAGACTGAAGTCTGGTGGCCTTTGATGGTGGATACATCGGCTTCAGAGTTATAGGTTCAGGGCTTACAAAAGTTACTTTTTAAATTACAGGACTCCAAAAGTAACATTTACAAGTTCTGTATAGATAACACACAAATTTGCTATCCGGGCAATACAGTATTGTCTAATCTGAGTATAAATGGTCCTTCAGAATATTCAGGAGGGATCCTCTCTCATCACCTACTTTCAACTGGAAATGGCTGGGATAAAATTCAAGACTTTCTACTTGCAGGTACATTTTACCTCTGAGCTATCTCCCACTCAAGCTTGAACTCAAGAAACCTTGTAAACCAACCAAAGAACTAAAGAACCAAAGAACCAACCAACCAAGCAAAGAACCAACCAACCAAGCAAAGAACCAACCAACCTACCTACCAACCAACCTACCAACCAAAGAACCAAAGAACCAACCAACCAACCAACCAACCAACCTACCAACCAAAGAACCAACCAACCAACCAAAGAACCAACCAACCAACCAACCAACCAAAGAACCAACCAACCAACCAACTTTCTCCTTTGACAATCCAATCAGAATACAATCAAATTGCCACTGCAGAGACTATGAAATTCATGGTGGGACATCACCTCCATTTCTAAAACTTCCTAAATGTCTGTAGGCAATTCCAAGGACATGCCAGTCAAATTAAAAAAGGAGTGGGGGAGAGATGTAAGAACCTACAACAAAGTACAGCCAAAGCACCAAGAGTGCATTTATTTATATTATTTTATATAATAGAGTTTGTGGCCTATAAAATACAGGAAGCAGTGAGGCTATCAAATAATGTCATTTCAAGAATAATAAGGGCTGCTTGGTGCATATTTGCTGAGGAAGCAATGCTGAACAGTATTTTGCACTGTCTATTGCCTTTTTTCCTCAGGTGCATTCTCAAGATATCTGCTTACAAACAAAGGAAGAACAGATGAAAGAAGGGACAAATGTGATTACACAGCTTTATTTGGGCCGGTGTACCTTTCACACTTCCCTGGCATACACATTCCAGGAAAACACAGAGGCACAATTAATGGAAAATAATAGTTTTTAAAAAACCAAACACAACAGTAATCATCAACATGGTTGCTGATTACGTTGGAAGGGAAAGCATTTTTGTCATGCAGAATATTTACACACAAATAAGGAATATTTCATGTCAAAACCTATTCAAGGAAGAAAACAAAGCTTACAGGAAACTAAAGAAGAGAAATGGGATCAGCTTTGGGCTATTTAATTTCTTCGGAGTCCTTTGTTTTAAAGCTGTAATTGAAGCTTGTTGTTTGGGGCTTTTTATCTGGAAGATGTCCCAGTCAGCTTTGAACAAATTTAACCAAGGGAGAAAATATTTACAGTCATCCTCTATGGACATCGAGATGTTCAGTGGAGAAGACACAGGTAAAATGAATGAATAGTTGTGGTAAGCATCAGAAGGACACCAAATATTTTTGCTGGAGTCCCAGTGAAGTGAACTGGAGCTGTACAAGAACTATGGATCTCAGGGTACAGGTATCCATAGAAACAATCCACAGAATCAGAGAGTCGGAACAGGTGTGCAAATTTGAGTTTTTTAGAGTGCAAATCTGCTTGGAAATGTAGTCCAAAAACACAAATCTGCACACTTTTAGAAAGGTCTTATATGTCAATTTAGTCTAATCCCTTTTTGATGCAGGAACTCTGGAGCGGGAGTATCTCCAAAAATAAGTCTTAAGTAGGTCTGCCTGTTATTAGAATTTGCCCTAAGACTCCAATCTGGTGGTTTATTCTTCACGGAATGCAATGTTTCTGACTTGACAACACTTATCTGGTCCATCCTGAAATCCTGCAGATCACTTTCTAAGTCCACCTACCAGGGGATCCAGATTTACTTTTGTCCCATCTCTGGTTTAGAAAACAACATTCCATTGTGCTTGGTAGCCTCCAATTTATAGAGATCTCTTCAAAAGAAGAGACAAAACCTTGGTACTTCCTTGGCTTTTAAGCCACTGCGTGGGGAACTGCATAAAACAACTGTCCTTTACAAAAGCACACACCTGAGCCTCAGGTTTGGGCCCTGAAATCTCAAGGGATGGAGTGCAGTGACCTCACAACCCTACTGTCAAGCCTACCCTTGAAAAGTGCCAGTGACAAGCCAACCTCCCCCATCCTGCTCTCCTCATCTATTTGATTAACACCAAGCAGCTCCTCTCAATGTTCAAGTAAAAGCTACCTTTCTGTAACTTAAATCCTGCCTTTCTGGGGTATCTGAAATCAAGTTTTTGCCTTCTTCTGGAAGGATGGCCCTTCAAATATTTGGAGAGCACTACTCTATATTCTCATAGGCTTCCCATTTCCAAGCTGAACATATGAGGTGATAGGAATATAGCTCCTGATTTGATTACCTTTTGACCTAACTACACATCACACACTGACGACACAATTAACAATGATGTTGATGGGATTTAAATTAAATACCCAGGTCCAGGTGGGCAGTGGGATTATGTCCTCAAAAACACGGCATGTGAGAGGGGAAGTTCCAGCCCTCCCCTCCCTATCTATGATACGACTGAAAATCCCTCAATCACAGTGAGCACTAGGAATAATGTTTCTT